GTCCCAGACTTACCGTATCATCTGTTAATAGCAGATTCCTGAGGTCATTTGGAGACGAAAATCTTAATACCAAAATGTCGATGCTACTATAGTATTTGAATGAGAAAGGCTTAAAGTTTACCAATCAGCTTGTCAGAATTTCGCGCGCTCAGGGACATCGCATCTCGAAAGGACCCTTGCACAACACTTTATTCAATACGTTTTATTTACTTCACTCAGCTCTTATTCACTTTATTTACTTCACTCAGCTCTTATTCACTTTATTTACATTGTTCGCAATACTGACGAATTTACTAATGATAATAAATTCTAAATTGTATTAAAACACGATGCGCGTCGAACTGTCAAAGCAGTTGTGCCATTGACAAATGACATTTTTCATGTCATGAGAGAAAATCAATACTATCGGTACGAAGTATGATTTGCTACATAAAATGTTGTGCAAGGGTCCTTTTGAGATGCGATGTCCTTGAGCGCGCGAAATTCTGACAAGCTGATTGGTAAACTTTAAGCCTTTTTCATTCAAATACTATAGTAGTCTCTAGAGGCCTAAATAATCAGAGAGGCGCTACCGGCTTATGTCAGTATCGCAACAAATATTAAAAATGGCGTCGAATTATGAATACCGGTCTTAAAAGTAATGACAGATGAAAATTATACTGCAAGGAGCTGTATTTTCTGTAAGTTCTTTAAATAAATTATTTTTGTGTTTATAAATTATTATTATTATTTAAATGCTTGCAATTGAACATTTTTAGGTGCTGGAAGACACTTTGTGCTTTATTATTTGCATAATTATCAACAGAATAACAGAATCAAAGATAAACACGTGAATATTTATTTATAATTTAAAAACTTCTGAAAACTTTTTTCTGAAATTGTTGAAGATAATTATTGTATTACTGGTACAGATGCAGTATCATGCCTTTACTCAATGAACATAATGAGGATAATAACGATTGTGTACTATCTGTCAACGATCAAATTACCTTCTCTAATAATCACATCAGTAAAGAAGAGCAATTACCTATATATCAACAGTGAAGAGAGTTGTAATCAAAGAAACATGTGTATTATTCATAAAGAAAAGACTGAAATTAATCCAGCCTCAATTAAATTGGAACATATTCTTGCTGAAGTAGAAAAAAGTAAGAATCATCTTGCTCATTTTAAGCAAAAGAACACTCTTTTAAAAAATAGAATTGTATATATGGAAAGGAAAATTATGCTTAAAATAATTGCTTTAAAAATTCAAAGATTTAAAAGAAATATCTAAAGAAGAGAAAAGATAATGGAAAATGATTAAAATAACAATGTTAGACATTGGCTAATATCATTGGATATATAAACGGTACATGGCAGCAAATAAAGACAATCACAATCAAGGAAGCAACACATCAGTAACAAATCGAAAAAGTTATTTGAATTAATTTACTTATTTTTTATGTATAATTATTTGATTTTTACTTTAGATATGTATAATTATGATAAAAAAGGAAGACACAATAAAAAAAAAAATTTTTTTTTTTAAATTTAACAAATTAACTATGTATTTCAATCTCTCCTTTAATAAATACTCTCTCCTTTAATAAAGAAAAATCTGTGTATTACATTAGAATTGTACATTTTCCCTTCAATTTTAAAATTAAGTAAGTAGGAAGACAAATTCAATATTACGGAAAGTATCACAAATATTTTATTACATCATAAACATTTTACAAATAAACTTTTTATAAAAACAAAATATTTCCTTTCAGAAATCTATAGAAAAACATTATTAAAAAATTAGAAAATTTGTACTCGTTGACATCTATATCACAACTTTTTTGAAATATTGCTTTTAATCTACATAAAAAAAATAATATTTTTATGTGCCGAAGCATAAATATATATTATGTGACGAAGAGAGCGAATATAAGTCCGTGCTTAAGACGATTTTGAATATAAGAACGGACTATGAATACCGCCCTTAGACTCGCGGAAATTGGCCGATCTTTTTTAATTAATTTCTCATTAATTATTGCCAAAATCGCAAAATGGTAGAGGACTTTTCTACTCGGTTTAACTCGCTCTACCTACACCCGAGAGGTGATTCAGCAATTGTCGGACACCCTGTATATGCAAATAGACTGATGATGAGCGGGCACCTTTCAGAAAATAAAATTTTTAGCCTATTTGTTACACAGGCGCTCCTGAGTCAAGGCTATCGACGGCTCGGCCGCCAGCGGCCGCGCGGTGGTGGGAGAGCGGGAGGCGTCGTCTCAAGAATCGAGCCGAAATGTGCAACTAACGCTGAGCTCTGATCTAAATTAATAGCAAATTTGCTATCAATCTGCTATTCCTAACATTCAAGTTTATCAATTAGGGTAAACGTACTACGGAGAAGATACGAGTAATTATATTATCACAGTAAATAAGCAGAAATACGATTTTGTTCCCGCAAATATTATTTCTCAGAAGATTAAATTGTCGAGCATTGCATTTGTCCATAACTTAATTCATGAAAAAAATTACTTACAAGTAGATCGCATGCACTCAAAAAAATGATCTTGCAATAATAGCTAAAATTTTCTAGGTGTAAAAAATTAAGTAAAACAGATAAATAATTAGCAACTGTTGTGATATTGCATATGTAATTACTTAATCAGTTTAGATGACAGAAACAGAATACATATCTGTATTGTTTGTGAACTATAAAAAAAAAGTTTCTCTAAAGCACCTATCTATATAAGATCAATCACGTGTTAGATCATATATCAATCACGTGTTAGAAAGTTTGATTGAAATAAACAGAAAAATCAACAGTGCAAACAAATGAATTTATGATCTGCACATCTAACAGTTTATATGACGCGCCCAATTTGTCTAGCTCTTTTAAAATAGATATTAGCTGCGATATCTAGAAATCTAACTACATCAGCGAAACATTTTTCTTAGTGTATCACGATCACGCCGCGTGTGGCGCATGCAACACGTACTGCGTAAAATTTCGTGCCAGCGCCCATCGTGTAGTACATGTTGATACCAGTTCAGACAAAGGGACAACGCATATTAAACACATAGGCGAATCGTGCTTCGAGTTTGTGTCTCATTTGGGTGTTTGTGAAAGTTTTACTGTGGAAGAAGTTTGACCGTGACGGTTGTGTGTGTAATAATGTCAGATGATAACATTTTCATCGAATTGACGACTAGAGATTTATTAAAACATGGAATCTCGAGCAATATGCATCGGCGTTTGAAAGTAAGAATATAATTATTTACTTGATTAAATATTATAATTAGATTAGATATCAATTGCATTAATTTTTTGCACTATCGTTAAAATAAATTAGTTTCTTTCACATGCCATTATTTATTTTTTAAGCAAGTATGTTAATAAAAAAACCGTCAAAATTTTTCCTGCTTTATAATATATCAACAAATAGTTATAAATTTTTGTCATAAAGCCCTTTCTCGGATATAAATTTCAAGAATATTGCGTGCACGCGCGCGAACATACAATTATATACATATACCGTTCGCAGAATATTCTCGAATATTTTAGAATATTCTACGAATATTTTGTGCTACCTGAGTATATATGTATGTGTTTTTATTATTGATAAAACATTACATATATAGTAATTTAACTATATATGTATTTTATTCAAATTACATAGTTATGTGTGACTTCAAATAAGTATTTTATCACATATCTAATAAATATTCATAAATATTTATATTTATTTTGTATTAGGTAATTGTATAGAAACCGCAGAATTTGAAAGTCTATTAGAACCTGAGTGGAAGGAAACTTTAGAATCTTTGATCCCACTTTCTGGCCACAGAATGAGATTCGTGAAAAATTTGAAAACTTTTATCAAAGACAACACAAATGAAATGGAGGTACGATATAATTAGTTAATACATAGATATTAATATATGGATGCTTTACATTTAGCAAAAATATATGTCTTTAAATAGAAATACATATAATTGAATTTTTACATGTCTTGTTACATTTTCAAAGAAAATATTTCTTGTGACATTTGAGAAAGAGAGAGATTCAAGTATTTTATTAATATATAAATTAAATAAAAAATTTGCAGCATATTTAGTAATGTGACATATCAAATGTGTGAGTAAAAATGAATATGGCATGCAAAAAAGTTAATTAATTTTAATGCAAAGAAAAAAGATTTTAAAATATTTGAAAGAAATAATTTTAAATACATAATTTATAGTGTCTAAAATATATTTGTAAAAAGAGGTAGAAAAAGAGAGAGATAATAGAAAAATAAATTGTAATTCAGTATATTTTTAATAAACTTTATATTATAATATAACTTTATATCTTTAATCGAATTTTGAGAACTTTATCTCTAAAATATCATTACGTTTTCAATTCTGAATTTCTTTATTCCACTCTGTTGTAGATTGATGAAAATAATTTTACAAAGATACGTGAGAAAGATAAAAGTAAAAAGACTGTTATTCCTCTTTCACTTCAACTAGTAAGTATGCTTTAATATTGTATTTAATTTAAAAGCTTATTTCAAAAAACTTAAAAATGTTTATTTTTAAATATTAAATTATCAATTCCATACATAGAATATTTCAAACGAATCAGAAGATATTCAAGAAATTGAAGAAATTCCAAAAAACAACAATCAAGAGAAAAACTTGGAGGAATCTATTCATCAAGAAGCTTCAAAAAATATTTTCAAAAAAAGAAAGAGAGAGAGTGACGAATGCAATGTCACACGAGGTGAAGTAAGTTATGAATAATCGATTTTGTAAAAATATATTACAAAGTATCTATTCAAATTTTGTAAAAAAGTTCCTTGAAAATTCCCTGATTTTCCATTTTTGTTCAAAATTTAATAAAGAGAATATTTTAATGATTTTTTAATGCAATTTTCTAAAATGTTGTTTTTGCATGCGTTTTCTAATATTTTTTAAATAATTTTTTAATAATTTTGTCCAGCAACTTCGTTTCCTTCTAAACAAGTCAGCTACAGGTAGATGTTTCTTACAACTAGCGAAGCAAGGCTCTTATTTGAAGGATAAAGATAGAAATAAGTTAACAGATATTATTATTGAGAATCAATTGAGCAAATGTGACAAGTAAGCTTATTTGTTATTTTATAATTTTAAATTGTGATCCTCATTATCATAATCATTTTTTCTCGTTTTTTATAAATTGTCTCTTTTTTTTTAAAATGTTATTTTTTCTGCTTAGAATTTCACCTACAGAGTTCACTGAACTGGTTGGTGCTATTCAATATTTATTTCCCCAAGAAGATAGCGTAAGATAATATAAATTTTAATAACGAGTTATTGAATATAAAATACTGCACATTTTTATGTAGATTTGCATTTATGCTAAATTTATTTTTGCAGGAGCTTTATTACACATTCCATATAAATATATAAATGGAAATAAACTGTTGGTAAAAGGAAAATTAATCACAAAATACTATTCTATACGAAAAGAATTTAAAGCTCTTGGTATTATTGCATCTAAAAGTAAGGATCAATCAGATTCTCAAGATGATTTAGTAGCAGGTTTGTTGTTTATTTATATTTGCAGTTTTTTCTGTAATTAGATGATAAATTTTAAATATTTTTTGTTATTTTATTTATTAATAGATGATGATCTG